CCTCTTGTTACTGGACACCAATCCTGGTGGACAGGAACAAACCATGGGATGCTCTGAGTATTTTAAAGAAAGACTTCAGAAAGAAGGGGTCGGGGTCAAGGGACTAACATGCTCATGGACCAAGAGCTCCTAATGCCAAACACAGTGAGTGTTTTCACTTAGATTTAGAAATCATCAGAAGAATGGGAATCTTAAGTCAGCTACCTGACTTAATCTATATGAGCTAAGATTTTACACATCCGAGGGCCTTTGATATAAGGACAAACATATTTAACCTCGGGGATGTTCCTCTGGGAGAAACAGCAGAGACAGAGCAGACACAGGATCCTGCCTCAGGTTTCCCAGATATCAGGGCTATGCTGTCTGGTCATTCTGCCTTAATCCTGATTCTGTTTTAATTCTTGGTTTCCTACTCATTCATAAATCGGTGTCATTCAGTGGATTACTTTTGTCTCAATAATTGGACTAACACAATGTGTTATGAGAATATTATATAAAATATTTAAGCTTTTCTGTGACAAATGATGAATGAAACAGATGTATGACTATAGACACTACATGAGAATCGTCAAAAATAAGGACAAAAATCACAAATTAAAGTTGTTGTCATATAACAATTGCATGGCAGAATCTTTTCCAGGTCACAAGTCAGCCTCAGAAGAAGACATTTGCTCTGGAGTCTTTCACTTACTCTTTATGTTCAAACAGAACGTTTTATGTAGGAGAAGGATATGCAAATGAGCCTCTCCCTGCTATGATGAAAACAGCCCAGCCCAGCCACAGCTCCAGGAGAGGCGTGAGTTCAGGGGTTCCCAGGGGCTCTATCCTGACTCACACAGAACTAACATGGCGTGTGGGCTGAGCTGGCTTCTCCTGGTGGCTGTGTTAGGAGGTAACTCATGGGCAACAGAGACACGGAGCATGGGAGATATGGGAAAGGCAGATCCTCTGTGAGAGGAGAGTTTCCTAACCAGGATGTCTTTGTGTTTGCAGGGGTCCAATGTGAAGTGCAGCTTGTGGAGTCTGGGGGAGACTTGGTGAAGCCCGGGGGGTCCCTGACACTCTCCTGTGCAGCCTCTGGATTCAGTTTTGGCAGCTATTGGATGAACTGGGTCCGCCAGGCTCCAGGGAAGGGCCTAGAGTGGGTCTCACTCATTAATACTGATGGTACATATACAGAGTATGCCGACTCTGTGAAGGGCCGATTCACCACCTCCAGAGACAACAGCAAGAACACACTCTCTCTGCAAATGAGCCTCCTGAGGGAGGAGGACACGGCCTTGTACTACTGTGCAGCAGACACAGTGAGGTGAAGGCCATGTCAGCCCAAACAAAAACCACCTGCAGGAGGAAGCAGGGTGAGCTTCAGTGTTGCAGGCCCCCAGGAGGCTCTGAGGACTGTCCCCTGTGGAGGCCTTGCTCATGAGCAGATGAATCATGTTTCTGTGGAGATCAGGCCTGACCTGCCCCTCAGCTCTCAGATGACCCCAAGGGCACCTTGTCCTGTGGGTTGTGGCTGTGAGTCCTCCATCCCCACTGTGGGCAGGAAGGAGTTTATTTCACTCTCTGCCTCATGATGGTGGTTTTTACTAATGGGACCATGACTTCCCTGGGGCCTAGGTAAGATCCTACATTATTCTCTGGTAGAAATTAAAATTACCTTGTAGAGATTATTATGGTGTCCTAGTAGGAGTCACTTATTCTCTAGCACTGTAGCACTGTCCTCCCGTTTTCCATTGATTTGCTCTTGTGGGCACCAGTAATATCTCCATTGTGGGACTTGTTCTTACTGTTTTTGGTATATCGAATACGTAATGGGGAGCTTGCCAGGCTTTGCTGTGCGGGTGAGATACTCTCGGTAACTTGCCAAACTCTTTGAGAGGAGCAGAGGAATCGAGTAGTAGTAGTAGTAGTAGTAGTAGTAGTAGTAGTAATAATAATAATAATAATAATATGGGTCTAGGACCAGGAAGAGAGTACAGCGGGGAAGTCACTTGCCTTGCATGCAGCTGACCCAGGTTGGATACCCAGCACCACCTCCAGTTCCCCAGCACCTCCAAAAGTTATCCAAGGTGCCAGAGAGATAGTACAGTGGGTAGGGCATTTGACTTGCATGTGACTGACCTGGGGTTTGATTCCTGGCTTCCCCTCAGCACCACCAGGAGTAATTTCTGAGTGCGGAGCCAGGAATAACTACTGAGCACTCCTGGGTGTGTCCCAAAAAAACAAAACCAACAACAAAGAGAGCAGAGCCAGGAATCAGCCCTGCACACAGCTGGCAGTAGCCAGAAGAAAAATGGTCGCACTGCCTGGGAGACAGCTCAAAGGACCATCGCACAGGAAGCCCAGCACCAGTTTCCAGCGTATGCCATGACCTCCCCAGCACTGCGGAGAGCGACTCCAGGAGAAACCCCAGATATCACCAGGTGTGACTCAAAAAAGCAAAATAAATTAATAAATAAATAAAATAAAGAATGAATGATCTAGGGCTGCAGCTTAGGAATGTGGATAGAGCATTTGCCTTGCATGCAGCTGACCAAGGAGACAGGGGAACAGGAAGAGGGTAAGCCCTGTCAAGCACATGCCACAAGCCAGTTTTCCCTTCCCAACACCAGAGTCTCACACCCCCTTCTGCTTGAGGGGACAGAGTTTTGGAGAGATATTGGCAAGTGACGTATCCTAGGAAGCCCAACTGCCCGCGGGTCAAGATCTCTTGACCCTGGGTGGGAGGGGAACAGACCGAGTCCCTGCTCTGCCCAAGGCCCAGAGATCAACACAGGCACTTCTGGCTCTCGCCACAACTACTGAATTGCTCGTCTACAGGACTGATGTCAGAGAGGCCAGAGAATCACCTGCACTTGAGCGTCCCATCTCAAAGCCTGAAGCCTGATGCCACCTCTGCAACTGTGCAACGGGGCTGCCAGCCAGAAGAAATACAGAAATTAGATGGGAACATTGATTGGAAACCCGCTGGGCTCACGAGTAGAAACTCTACCACAGAAGGCCCAAGCACACCTAAGAGTTCAGGAAATCCTCAGGCCGGGATTTTAGCAGCACCATTAGGAGAGAGATGCTGTAACAAACAGTGTAAAGTCAATTAATTAGTGTTGCTCAGGGAGCTAGCTTGGGGGGTGGGGAACTGGGGACATTGGTGGAGGGAAGAGCACAATGATGGTGGAACTGGTGTTGGCATGCTGAATACCTGAAACAACTGTATTGTGAAGAACTGTCTACATCAAAGTGTTTAAAGTAAGAAAGGAGACAGTCAGACATACAGACAGACAAAGAGGACAGCGTTTCCATCAGTGACTGAGTATGAACAGTCAGTTCAAACTGAGCTCGTGCCAGGTCTGCAGTGATAAGGAGATTTGGGGCAAGGGTCTGTCAGACACCCTTCAGTCATCTCCAGAAATCCACTCCTCCCGGGACACTTGTTCTCCTTAAGTGTCATTGAATGTTACCCACTGGCGGAGGCACCTGTCAGAGCAAAAGAACCAACCGTGACCCTGGTGGAGGGTGACAAGGGTGGGAACAGCAGGACCCCTGAGCAGGGACACCCAAGCTCTGATACAGATGAAAGATGCGCAGATATGGACAGAAGCAGAGTGACCTCAGTGGAAACATTGAGACGGGGCAGTTTTGGATGAATTTTTGAAACTTTTTTTCTAACTTTCTATGGAGTCCATGGAAAATTTAAAAGAAGCACATGGAATAGTTTAAATGTAGCCTATAACAAATGTCTGCCCCGTGAGAATGCACAGTAGACCCTGAACTCCAAAATGCAAAAATCAGAGAGCCAGAGTGATAGTACAATTCAATTTTCTTTTCTTACCCTCGCCAATGGGAGATATCCCCAGTATCCCATATGATCCTCCCAAGCACTAGCAGGAGTAAAAAGGTAAAGGTAAAGGCCCTCCCATTGATCATCCTCATTTTTCTCCCTCATTCTAGAAAGCTCATGGGACCTATTTTAAAAGTCCAGGACTGAGAATAATCCAAGACTCCTTTAGTCATGAGTAAAAATCAATAATATATCCCTAGAGTGGAAGGCTATTGAGAGTGAATCTGGTGGCCGCCAGATTCACTCTGTCCAGAGGCCACTGGACAGTCAGGTTTGGGCCCACAGTGATGAGACATGGGGGGCCTTACGGGATGGGGGTGGAGCTGGCCCTTTCCTCCCCACCCTAACAAAACCATGAGTCACCACCCATGAATGGCCTCTCTGGCTCCTCATCAAGCTGCTTAATGGCCATGATCCCAAACACTCTGAAACAAATCCTGAAACCCAGTGGCTTTTGGAAGAAATGCTTCCAGTCTCCACAGGGTGGGGGAGGTGTAGGATGGTGTGTTTTCTGAGGGATTTTGGTGGTAGAAAATGGGCACTAGTAAAGGGACAGGTATTTCATCATTGTATGACTGAGACTTAGACCCGAAAGCTTTGTAACTGCTCTCACAGTGATGCAATAAATAAATTATATTATTATATTTATTATTCAATAAATAACTTTATAAAAAGAAAAAAAAAGTAAGGCGGAGTTCATGCCCAATTCAATCAGCTTAACAAATGGTTGAATAAATAGTAATACTCCTACATTTAAAAAATAATAATAATGGGACCAACTCTCACAATGTGTTATGAGAATATTGAATGAAGTATTTAAGCTTTTCTCTGACAAATGATGCATGAAACAGAAGTATGACTGTAGATGTTACATGATAGTCATCAAAGATAAGGAGAAAATATCACAAATTAAATTTGTTGTCATATAATAATCGCATGACAGAATCTTTTCCGGGTCACAAGTCACCCCCACAACCTGACAGTTGCTCTGGAGTCCTACACTTACTCTAGGTTCGAACAGAATGTTTTATGTAGGAGGAGGATATGCAAATGAGCCTCTTCCAGCTATGATGAAAACAGGCCAGTCCAGACTCAGATCTGGGAGAGGCGTCAGTTCAGGGGTTCCCAGGGGTTCCATACAGACTCAGACAGAACCAATATGGCGTGTGGGCTGAGTTGTCTTCTCCTGGTGGCTGTGTTAGGAGGTAACTCATGGGTGACAGAGCATGGGAGAGATGGGAGAGGAAGATCCTCTGTGTGAGGAGAGTTTCCTGACCAGGATGTCTTTGTGTTTGCAGGGGTCCAGTGTGAGGTGCAGCTGGTGGAGTCTGGGGAAAACTTGGTGCAGCCCGGGGGCTCCCTGACACTCTCCTGTGCAGCCTCTGGATTCAACTTTAGCAACTATGGAATGCATTGGGTTCGACAGGCTCCAGGGAAGGACATAGAGTGGGTTGAAATAATTTATTATGATGGTGGTACTAAATACTATGCCGGCTCTGTGAAGGGCCGATTCACCATCTCCAGAGACAACAGCAAGAACACGCTCTCTCTGCAAATGAGCCGCCTGAGGGAGGAGGACACGGCCCTGTACTACTGTACGAGACACAGTGAAAGGAAGGCCCTGTGGACCCAGACACAAACCACCTGCAGGAGGAAGCAGTGTGAACTTCAAGGGAGCAGGCCCCCAGGAGGCTCTGAGGACTCTCCCCTGAGGAAACCTCACTCATGACCAGATGAGTCTTGTTTCTTTGGAGATCAGGCCTGACCTGCCCCTCAGATCTCAGATGACCCCATGGGCATCTTGTCCTGTGAGTTGTGGCTCTGATTCCTCCATCACCACTGTGGTCAGGAAAGAGTTTGTCTTACTCTTGCTTCATGATGGTAGTTTTTGTTATTGAGACCATGACTTCCCTGGGGCTTAAGGGGCACATTTATTCTCTGGTAGAAATTAAAAGTACCCTGTAGAGATTATCATGGTGTCCTAGTAGGAGTCACTTCATCTGTAGCAATGTAGCACTGAACTCCCGTTTTTTCATTTATTTGCTTGAGTACACACCAGTAACGTCTCCATTGTGAGACTTGTTCTTACTGTTTTTGGCATATTGAATACGTCATGGGGAGCTTTCTAGGCTTTGCCGTGCGGGTAAAGGTAGCTTGCCAGGCTCTAGGTAGCTTGCCAGGCTCTCCGAGAGGAGCGGAGGAATTGAGTAGTAGTAGTAGTAATAATAATAATAATAGTGATAATAATAATAATAGAATAGGTCTAGGATCAGGAAGAGAGTACAGCGGGGAAGGCACTTGTCTTGCATGCAGCTGACCCAGGTTGGATCCCCGGCACCACCTCCAGTCCCCCAGCACCTCCAAGAGTGACCCACGGTGCCAGAGAGATAGTAGAGTGGGTAGTGCATTAGCCTTGCATGTGGTCAACCTGGGGTTTGATCCCTGACTTCCCCTGAACACCACCAGGAGTAATTTTTAGGTGCAGAGCCAGGAATAACTGCTGAGCACTCCCGGGTATGTCGCAAAGAAACAAAACCAACCACAAAGAGGGCAGAGCCAGGAACCAGCCCTGCACACAGCTGGCTGTAGCCAAAAGAAAAAGGGTTTACTGCCAGGGAGAGAGCCCAAAGGACCACCACAGAGGCTCCACATGCAGGAAGCCCAGCTCTGGTTTCCAGCATATGCCATGACCTCCCTAGCACTGTGGAGAGTGACTCCACATAACCGAGCTGAAGTAGCCCCTGAGGACCCCGAATGTGACCTCCAAACCCAAATCAAGCAACTGAACAGAACAAAAACAACGTCCCAAGACTTTTTTTACCCACTGCAGCAGGGAAGATCCCAGCCCTAGATTCTAGTCTGGCCCAGGGCCCAGGAGAGCCCGAATACACACAGACACCAGAATCCTGCATGGGGGGTCCCGGAGGCTGTCAAGGGCTCTGGGAGTCAGGAGCACGACAGTCATCCCTTGGGACCCAGTGGGAAGGGCAAGACGCAGCGTGCACGCACCCGCCGCTTGCCTCCACTCATTTTCCCGTGCCAACACCTCCTCCTAGCAAGGCTGGGTCAGATATTGCTCGACAGCAGCTTCCCCAAACCACAGGGGCCACAAATCTCGACAGCCGGAGCACAGGCAGGCAGGCCAAGAGGCCTGAGTCCGACCCCGAAACACGGCCTGAAAGGCAGGCAGGCTAGGACGCCCCCGTCTGACCCTGACCCATGGCCTGGAGTAGCCCCCGGCAAGCCTGGGTTGGCTCCCCGACAAACAGAAAAGGAGTGCCCCAAACCCAGGCAGGGAAAAGGGAAGGGGCTTTATCAGCAGGTGCCTCAGAACCTGGGGGCCGACTGGCCTTCAGGTGAGCAGGCCTGGGTGCCGTGACCCATGGCCCCACTGAAAATGTGGGGTCTTGGGGGGGCAGGGGAATACAGCAGAGATTATAGGAACCAGAGGGCTGTCGAGGCCCAGACCCGGGTAGAGCAGTGAGGCACCATCACCGACAGAGGAGCTGGGTAGAGAGCGCGGTCCTCCCGCCTCCTCTTCGCACTGCATCTGGCTTTACTGAAAGGCCCAATTTTCATCAACCTCACGGAGAAACAAAACTTGTCCTCCGGCCACCTTCTTCGCTGAGACAGAGAAAAGGCAAGAGGGGGTTCCATCGCAACCTGTCTGAGGCACAAAGAGGGGCTCAAGAATGAATGACCTGGGCTGGAGCGATAGTACAGTGGGACGTTGGCCTTGCACGTGGCCTACCTTGGTTCCTTTCCCAGCATCCCATAGGGTCCCCCGAGCACCACCAGGAGTAACCCCAGAGCATTGCCAGGTGTGACCCAAAAAAGCCAAAGAAAAATAAGTAAATAAAGAATTAATGATCTGGGGCTGCAGCGAAGGATAGTGAATAGAGTATTTGCTTTGCACGTGGCTGACAACTCCCAGATCATTTTCTTTTCTTTCTTTTTTTTCTTTTCTTGTTTGGCTTTTTGGGTCACACCTGGAAATGCTCAGCAGTCACTTCATCAGAAAAAAAAAATCCTGGAGTCCACTCAGTTGTGTGTTGGCTCCTTCCTTCTGCTCTCAGACACACACTCTGTGCCCACTGACCCCTAACCTATGACCTGCACCCAGGTAGCCTCTACCTGGCCACCCCACACCTAGGAGTCCTGCTCTCTCAGATGGGCTGACCTCTAGTCCCTCATCCACTCATGAAATGGACATTCAGGTTTACCCATTCCCTCTCCACCACTCAGCCATTGTAGAACAGAAACCCTGTCCAGTGACACCTGCAGCTCTGACCCTTCACAGTGAGACAGAGGAAAGACCCAGAACATCGATGCTCTCCCTGAGCCCCCACTCTTCGGCACCCCCAGATACACCACACCCCAGAGCCTAAGGGTCTTCCTTACACTGAGGCTTCATATTGAGATCACTGCAGATGTGACTCTTAATGAGTTTCTCATTGTAGATCAACCTTAGTTTCCTGTCTGCCTTTCCAAGACAAAGAAACCTGGAGATTAGAGTCTACATTCCTCACTCCCCTCACATGGGGACATCACTGGGCAGTTCTCCTGTTCTGGGGACCTTTCAAAGTCACCTCTTTAAAATCACAAGTGCAACAATAGTTCTTCGCTTAGGGAACTCAAAGAATTTTGAAGGTTCAGTATCGATAATAAAGACTAATGTTGAAGGTAATTTTCCTATTAGAAATTACACTCTGAGTGATGGTTGCAACTGGCTAATTTGGAGTTAAAATAATGGATACACAGTCATTCTGAAAAACTGTATTATTCAAATATGGATATTCTGGTTTTTTTCAGTTGTGGGGCCACCCCTAGGAGTACTCTGTCTGTGTCCTGGTCTCCCCTGTAGTGCTCAGGGATCAGGCTAGTGGTGCAGGAAAACGAACATGTGCAAAGATGCTCCAATTCCATTGGTTCTGCCCAAGTTGATGTGAAAAACAAAATTTTAAAGTTTCTGTCATGCTAGGAGTGTCTAACAATGACAAAATATAAAATGAATATTCTAGATTTCTTTCCTTTCTAATTTGATTCTTGCACTATTTCTAATGGATTACTACTTATAAACCAGAACACTTTGTTTATCCTACATCTGAAAGAGTGAAACAGCTACAACATGAGGCAAGAAAGGGAAAAGAAATATATCTAATTAAATAAGATGAAAATAAAATAAAAATGTTAATCTACAGTAGATATTGGTGTGTAAAAATAAACTTTCATAAATTTAATTAAGTGTCCTGTTGGTCTTGGTGCAGCAGCTTTAGGAAATATCCCCAACATTCCCCAGGCACTCCAGCGTCCCTTCTGAGGTCTGGGGGCCCAGCTCCCCTGGAAACTGCTGACTGTGGAGATACAGACACAGCGCAGGTGGGTCAGGACTGTTAGGATTCACTGTCTTGGCAATGCAGGAGCTCTGGGACAGGACCCTTGGGGACAGAAACAGTGAGTAAAGTGCTTATACATGAGAGTATTTATGAATCCTGTAGCCACCTGGTCCCTAAGGTGTTACATCATCCATCTGAATCCTCATGTTGCCTGCGTTGGTGTTCGTGTGTCTCTGTGTCTATCTTAGCAGAATATTCTAGAACTGTTGGGTGTGTAGATGACTTTTGATCCTTAATGCTGACTTTTTTAAACATCAAATTTCAGAGCATATTTTCTGGCCCCTTCGATTGAACTCAGCCCTTGGGTACTCCATGTAATTACAGGGTACACGTATGTGACACGGCCTGTGTCCAGGTTCCATGCATTTGGGAGGTGGGTAGAAGGTAGTCCACTCCTCAGGGCCAGCACACTTGTGCCCTTGTAAAGTGTGTGAGTCTGAGCACTAAGACCATGTTCCAGTCCCAATAGTTTGTGGCTTCTCAATGCCTCTTTTGCAAACGACAGCACCCAAAAAGGAGAGAGAAAACAAAAGGGAATGCCCTGCCACAGGGGTGGGGTGGGATGGGGGAATGGGGGTGGGAGGAATACTGGGAGCACTGGAGGTGGAGAATGGGCACTGGTGGAGGGATGGGTACTCAATCATTGTATAACTGAAACCCAAGCACAATAAATTGTAAGTCTACAACTGTACCACATGGTGTTTCACTAATAAAATTAATTAGTTAAATTAAACACAAACAGGAAAAAAATAGTTTGTGGCTTGAGGACTCTCCATGAGCTCTTTTCAGGAACGTGATGGGGCTGAGATTATTCAGTAATGACCCAAATAACTGGCTCCTGAGGTTCACGGTTATCTTCTGGGTGCTGAGTTACATACAGGACAGAGTGGATTAAGTGCGTCTGACGACCAGACCAACCACACCAGGAAGGTCACTAGGCCCCAGTTGTTTTGGATTTGTTGTTGTGCCACAACTGGGTATACTGCTGGCTCTGTACTCAAGGGTCACTCTTGGTGGGGGCATGGGGAACCATATGAAATGCAAGGAATGCATCTTGATCTGCAACATGCAAGGGAAGAAGCTTATCCCTCTGCTGTCTCTACATCTCTTGTTACTGGGGAACGAACCTGGCGAACAGGGACAAACAATGGGATGCTCTGAGTATTTTAAAGAAAGACTTCAGAAAGAAGGGGTGAGACTTGCTCGTGAGACTAACCAAGAGCTCCTAATGCCCAACACAGTGAGAGTTTTCTCTTAGAACCAGGAATCATCAGAAGAATGGCATTCTTAGGTCAGCTACCTGACTTAGTCTATATGAGCTAAGCTTTTACACACCCGATGGCCTTTGATATAAGGAAAAACATGTTTAACTTCAGGGATGTTTCCTCTGGGAGAAACAGCAGAGACAGAGAAGACACAGGATCCTGCCTCAGGTTTCCCAGATATCAGGGCTATGCTGTCTGGCCATTCTGCCTTACTCCTGATTCTGTTTTAATTCTTGCTTCCCAACTCTTTCATAACTCGGTATCATTAAGTGGATTACTTTTGTCTCAATAATGGGGCCAACTCTTACAATGTGTTATGAGAATATTATATAAAGTATTTAAGCTTTTCTGTGACAAATGATGCATAAAACAGAAGTATGACTGTAGATATTACATGATAGTCATCTAAAATAAGGACAAAATATCACAAATCAAACTTGTTGTCATATGACAATTTCATGACAGAATCTTTTCCAGGTCACAAGTCACCCCCAGAACCTGACACTTGCTCTGGAGTCCTTCACTTACTCTTTAGGTTCAAACAGAACATTTTATGTAGGAGGAGGATATGCAAATTAGCCTCTCCCTGCTATGATGAAAACAGCCCAGCCCAGCATAGGCTCCAGGAGAGGGGTTGCTTCAGGGGTTGCCAGGGGCTCCATTCTGACACTGACAGAACCAACATGGCGTGTGGGCTGAGCTGGCTTTTCCTGGTGGCTGTGTTAGGAGGTAAGTCTTGGGCGACAGAGACACAGAGCATGAGAGAGATGGGAAAGACAGATCTTCTGTGTGAGGAGAGTTTCCTGACCAGGATGTCTTTGTGTTTGCAGGGGTCCAGTGTGAGATGCAGCTGGTGGAGCCTGGGGGAAAATTGGTGCAGCCCGGAGGGACCCTGACACTCTCCTGTGCAGCCTCTGGATTCACCTTTAGTGACTACATGATGAGCTGGATCCGGCAGGCTCCAGGGAAGGGCCTAGAGGGGGTTTCAAGCATAAGTAGTAAAAGTAGTTATATATACTATGCCGACTCTGTGAAGGGTCGGTTCATGGTCTCCAGAGACAACAACAAGAACACACTCTCTCGGCAAATGAGCCGCCTGAGGGAGGAGGACACGGCTCTGTACTACTGTGCGAGACACACAGTGAAGAGAAGGCTGTGTCGGTCCAGACACAAACCACCTGCAGGAGGAAGCAGGGTAAGCTTCAATGGCGCAGGCCCCCAGGAGGCTCTGAGGACTCTCCCATGAGGAAACGTTGCTCATGACCAGAGGAATCATGTTTCTGTGGAGATCAGGCCTGACCTGCCCCTCAGCTCTCAGATGACCCCAAGGGCACCTTGTCCTGTGGGTTGTGGCCCTTAGGCCTCCACTCCCGCTGTGGGCAGTAATGACTTATCACACTCTCTCTTTCCTGATGAAAAGTTTCCACTGACAGGATAATGACTTCTCTGGGGCCTGACGGACACATTATTCTCTTGTACAAATTAATATGACCCTGTAGAATTATCATTGTCTTCTGTAAGTATCACTTGATCAGAAAGGGAAATTCTGGTGTTCACTCAGCTGTGTGCTGGCTCTTTCCTTCTGCCCTCAGACAGACTCTGTGCCAACTGACCTGCTGCCTGTTAGACTCAACCTGGTCACCTTACACCCGGGAGTTCTGTTCTTCTGGACTGCCTGACCTCTTGTCCTCCATCCACTCACTAAGTGGACATTCAGATTTACCCAATCCTCCTCCACCCCTCACCCATTGTAGAGGAGAGACCAGGTCTTGTGACATGGGCAACACTGACCCATTCACAGTGAGACAACATGCAAGGACCAGGAGCATGTCCCTGAGCCCCCACTATCCCGACATCCCCAGATATGCCACACCCCAGAGCCCAGGGTCCCTTCTTACACCGAGGCTCATACAGAGACCATTGCAGGTGTGAGTTTTAATGAATTTCTCATTGTGGATCAACCTCAACCTCCGTTCACCCTCCTGAGACACTGAAATTTGGGGATTAGGATCTACATTCCCCCCTCCCATCACATGGTGACACTACTGAGGCAGCTCTCCTGTTTTTGTGACCTTCCAAAGTCACCTGTTCAACATCACAAATGTGCAATTAAATCCTCTTCACTTTGAAAATAAAAACAGTGTCATAGATTCAATGTCAATAATAAAGTTAAACTGTGAAGATATATTTCTTATTAGAATCATATTTTCAGCCCAGATACAACACGACTAAATTGGGATAAAATGGACGAGTCTCTAATCATTATGAAAACCTGTTATTATCCAAATGCAGATAATATGGTTTTCTTTGGTTTTGGGGCCACATCTGGCATTCTCCATGTTTGCCTCCTGTCTGTGTCCTGGTCCCCTCTGTAGTGCTCAGGGTATCAGTTAGTGGTAACAGATTAAGTCTTGAGACACTCTTGAGTTATCATGTGCAAATTCCATTGTACCTGCACAAATTGTTGTCAAGAACAAAATCATGAAAATGTTTCTGTCATGCCAGGAGTGTCTAATAATGAGAAATGAAAAATGAATGATTTATGGTTTTATTCATTTCTTTCATTTTTTTAGTAAATTACTAATTATGATCCAGGATGACTTACTTTACATGTGTAAGGAATAAAAAATGCATAAAATGAGTATGGGAGGATTGATCAAAGAGATATATCTTCATTAATGTACTGATTATAGAGTAAAGCATGTTAAAAAATCTTTAGCTAAAGTGAGTTTTCATCAGTTTAAGAATATTTTCATCTCCTTCCCCCTTCACCAATGGGACTCTGAAGTGACACCCACATATGGCCACTGTCTACTTAAAGTCCCACATGGCCATGATCCAGACACATACACATGAATCTCTGACCTGAACAACTTGCTGCAGAGATGTCTCTTGATTTTGCCATAGTCCACTTTCACTGGGCCACTCCAGACAGGGACAGGTGTCATCCCTCCGCCTGCCCCCTATGAATCCAGACTTCCGCCATCTTCTAGAACACAGCAAAAAGCTCCAGGTACAAGGTGGCAGTGACGGGAAATGCCAGGCCTCACAGGACAGGGGAGAAGTTGGCCCTTCTCCTTCCCCCCACCCGATGGGACTCTGAGATTATGCCCACATATGGCCACTGTGTACTTACGCTCCCAAACAGCCATGATCCAGAGACATACAAATGAATCTCAGACCCCAGTAATTTGCTGCAGCGATCTCTCCAGACCCTAATTATTAAAATTTTTAAATTTCTAGAACACATGAAGCAATACCAAATACATTAGCATTGCCTTTTCGAAGGTAGGAGTGGTGGGTGGTGGGACTGGTCTGAAATATCGAAGGCAACCAGAGTAGAGAAAGAGAGTACTGAGCAAAGTGTCTGTCACACAGCGGGGAGGTATGGAATGGTGGTGGTGATGGGGGGATGATACTGGGGATTTGGGTGGTGGAAAGCGTGCACTGGTTAAGGAATTGGTGTCTGATGATTGTGTGATTGAAGGTCAAATATGAAAACTTTTTACTGTGACTCACGGTGATTCAATAAAAAAGTGGGGGTCGATAATGTTACCAGTGGGTTTTAGCAAAGTGGTTTGGGAAATGGTGCCATCATTTTGCATTCTCCTGTTGACTCCATTCCTTCCTGAGATCTGGGGTCCAGTCTGCCTGGAAACTGCTGGTTTGGGTGGAGCATGGGGAGACATCACAGCTGAGGGCAGGGCTGTGAGAATTCTGGGTTCTGGGCCTGCAGCTGTGCTGGGACAGGACCCCCAGGACAGAGCAACAGTGAGTCGTGTGTTTTGCACACCAGAGAGTCAGTCAATCATCTCAGTCTTATACCCTCTTTTGAAGAGACAGCGATAGTACTGAATTGGCAAATAGAACTTCAGCCATACTAGACACTGCTGGGTCAAACAAGGATGGAATTTTGTCGCCAAGATTCAAGGGCTCCACGTGTGCCCACTCTTTATCTAGGTTTGTCTCTAATTTCTAACTAGTCTCTGGACTTCTCGAGCAACCACCTGGACGGTCTCCCTGGTAAGGTCCGAGGAAGTTGCCTTCCTCCTCCCTCCCAAGTTGTGTAAAAGAAATTGTTTTCTCCCATTTGATCACGTGAGTGTAAACATATCTTGGACCCCACAAATCTAGTCAGGATGTGAGGCAGTTGTCTCTTTAACTTTTTTTTTTGTTTGCTTGTTTTTACAAAACATAAGAGTATATCTAGTCTGCTCTTAAATACATGCTGGGACATAGTTTTGAAGTATCAATCTGATAGGAGTTTTGGGGTCCTTGGTGGAGATAAGAAGCTCTGCCCCAAGGTGCAGTGATGGGAAGACAAGGAACACTTCTTGTTCATGTCTCCTATTTGGCTCTGAGGGTAATCAGTGAGCTCAGGAGAACTCAGGGGCCACATTAGAGCTACCGTGGATGTGACGGGGAGACTCACCCAACCCCAATCCTCACACCGCCTGACTTGTTTGTGCATTTGTATTTATTTCAGTTCAATTTGGTTGAATTCGTGGGGTACATTTTTCACTTTTGAGTCTTAATGCTGAATTATTTTTAAGTAATATTTTAGACCATATTTTCTGACTTTCTGGATTTCTCAACCCCCACACTACATAGAAAAAGTAGGTACAATATGTGACACAGCCTGTGTCTAGGCTCTATTCATCTTGGGGGGGAGTGGGGTGGGTCATATCTGGCAGTGATCAGGGCTTGTGTACTTTTACCCTTGTTGCTGTGTGAGTTTGAGTACTAAGACCAGGCTCCCTGACCAACAGATTGTGTGCTGAAGGTCTCCATGAGCTGTGTCTATGCTCCTGACAGGGTCAGGCTTCCTGAGTGATGACCCCAGTACAGGGTCCTGAGGTTCATGCTGGCCTATGGACACTGAGTTATAGACAGGACAGAGCAGGGTCAGGCGCTGTTACCACAACAACCACACCAGGCAAGTCACTGGAGAGAGGCTCTTCCTTGTTCATATATAAATCCGACAACAGTGACAATTATCATTCTAACAACCACCTTGACTCTACTTCAGGCGAGGATATTTTCATCTAAGATAAGTGCGTGAAGAAACTAATGAAAAATTTGATTGGGTTGAAACAAACTGTCAGAATTCACTGTAATAATAAATATGACAGTTTGAAACCAAAATTTGGACAGACAGTTGAAGATCAAGAGCAAACACACAAGAACATGGAGGGGCAGGGCCCTGTCTACAGGTAGAGGGCCTGGTGGAGCTGGGTTTGGTCATCTGGGACCTGAGACACGGGGACTCTCCTTTCCAGCTGCCGTTGCCCCCTAAGCAATTCATGTTTCCTGAGAGCTCCTCAGCATGTTCTTTGTGCTGGAGGAAGAGACCCGTCTCTGACAGGATCCCAGGGACAGGCCTGATTCTCCTGGCTTCCTCCTAAGAGAGTCAGGGTCTGAGACACAGAATGGGGCTCACAGGATCAGGCTTAGTTTGTGAGAAAGGCTCAGGATCTCTCTCCGTCCTTCAGCAACAGCCCAGAGGAAGATGGCTACTCTGGAGAACACCTGGTGTCCCTCAGATTTTCTTCCAAGATTTTCTGTGAAGTGACCAGATGGCACAGGAAGAACCACATGGAAGTTTGGGCTGGTGTCATTGCAGGTTTCTGAACTGTAGGTCTACCCATGGCAGACTCCCAATATTACACATTAAGTTGGAAATTATGTCTCTGCAAGAAATTCTTTTTTCTGAGATGAATTCCTTGTGG